AAATCGGCGAAAAATCGAGTTCTTGACACCCTTCAAGTTTTTTTGATTTTTACGATAGAAAGAAGCATCGAAAATTTTCAGGGAACACATATTCTTGATCGCCGTAAAATTCTCTATCGAATGGTGTACGAAACATCGAAAAAAAAATTTTTTGCTCGAATTTTGCTTTGCGTGCACCTTACCTTTTGTAGGAAAAATTATGATGCTCGGTGGAGATTTTCGACAAGTTCTTCCAGTCATTCGATTCGCAAACAGATCAGAATTAATTGCAGCAAGTCTCAAAATTTTCAACCTTTGGCCTTACTTCAAAGTCATGCATCTACACCAAAACATGAGGACAAGACCAGGTGAAGAACAGTTCTCAAAATGGCTTATTCAACTTGGCAATGGTGAATTAACATCAAACGACTATGATGAAATCGAATTACCTCGCTCCTGTATATTAGACAGTAATTTGGTCGACGAGATCTTTGGCCAATACATTTCTCCAGAAGATATTTCAACTCTATGCAACAGAACAATTCTTTGTCCCAAAAATGAACATTCTCTCTTGGTCAATGAAGAAGTTCTTCAACGACTAACCGGAATAGAAAAAATGTACACAAGTGTGGATGAAGTAGAATGTGAGGAGGGTGATGATGTTACCAACTATCCTATAGAATTTTTGAATAGTGCTGCACCTTCAGAAATGCCTCTTCATAAACTCAAACTAAAGAGCGGTGCAATTGTTATGCTTCTTCGCAATCTCGATGTTCATTAAGATCTATGCAATGGAATTCGTCTCATCGTTCGACGTTTACTAAATCACACGATTGATTGTGAAGCCGCAACTGGATCTAACAAAGGAAATCGAGTTCTAATACCAAGAATTACTTTGACGCCGTATGATCCATTTTTGCCGTTTAAATTACGTAGACATCAATTTCCTATTCGACTCTCATTTGCTATGACAATTAACAAATCACAAGGACAGACATTTGATCGATTAAGGCTACTTCTACCACAATCAGTCTTCAGTCATGGACAACTATACGTTGCTTTTTCAAGAGTTCGCTCTCTAACGTCTATCAAGGTACAAGTCATCAACGAAGAAAAAACCAGTGAAATACATAAAACTAAAAACATTATTTCCAAAGAAATTTTGTAAATTTGTTGTTTTAGAATAAAATGAAGATTACGTGAATAAATTCTTTTGATACAACGGAGATAAACCTTTTAATATTATACCTGATCATCCACTGATCCTCACGAAAAACTTGCTTTCAATGATATAAAAACAACGACCGTGCAGTATGCACGGGTTCTTGTAGTTCCTCTCTATTTGGTGCAGATTTTGGCTTCCTTTATCGTTGTCCGCTATTCCACGTCGAATGCGGCTCGCTCTATCAATCAGGTTCCTTCAGCCTTTAAACGTTGACCTTTGCCCCGGCACAAACACTAAACATTATATATCGATAGATTCATAATCAAACCAGTAAACAAAGGAAATCAATAAAAGAAAAACAGCTAAAATGTTAAAAACAGCCCCTATACTTGAAGCATAATGAAAATGAGTAACCTCATAGTAAGTATCATGCAAAATAATATCTAAACGAGAAGTAGAAAGAACAATACCAATAAAGCCCCTATAGTAAAAGAAAAATAAATCCTAATACTCAAAGCAACAGGTAGTCAAACTCATAAATTTCAACAGCTAAAGTTCCAATTTAACTAAAATATCTTAATACCAGTAGGCACAGCGATAGCCATAGGAGCAGCAGTAAAATAAGGTCGAGTATCTACGTCTATTCCAACAGTAAATATATAATGAGTTGAAACAATAAACCAAGTAAACGAATAGAAATCGTAGCATAAACCATATCTAAATAACCAAAGATCTGCCCCTTTAACCCTTTGGCGACGGGAGACGTATATATACGTCCGGTCTTCCCACTAGAGAGAAAATTATCAATAGAATTTTGTTTGTTTGAAAACCGAATGTTAAGTATACTGTTAGACCGAGTTTTGTCTGCTGATCTCAAATATGTTATTACTTTTGCTTGAAAATATAACGGAAGTGAAAAGAACGCAAAATAAGTGAAATGGCGAGGTCAGAGGTGAGTATGCAATCTTTCTGATAAAAGTTTCCCATACGCTTTTCGGAATCATAGGTTTCTATGATTATTTTTTCATAATTATGATGTACATTGCATGTAAATTTTATAGTATAAAGAGTGACCCTTAGTTTGCCACCCTCGCTCTTCTACGTATGTTTCAATCGTGGGTGCTCGTTCTCAATGAATTTCCAGAAGCACACAATAGTTAATCTTCATACTTTGGCTAGATAA